GAGTGTTTCTTGTGGACTTTTTGTGTTCGCCTTAGCTCTTTTTGATATTATCTTGATTCGTGCTCTTGTTAGCATGAAACCTCTTCTTCTATTCTGCTGTTGCGACCTGGTCAGGCAAATATATGATTTCCTTACATTTGATCATTATTCCTTATCGTTTTCCTATGATATGATTTTCAAGCCATTGTTGAATTCTCTTCTCCTCGCATCATCTTAAACATGTGCTTTGGATGATCGTTGAATTTCCTTTGGTTCTTTATGAGCTTGTTTCAATTCTACTCATGTAAGCATGAGATTTCCTTCTCCTATTCTGCCACGTTGGTTGGGCAGATGAGTTGAGCTACTTTCTTTGATTATATCTAATTATTGATATCATTCCATTAGTTGACCCTAGAGTTGCATCTCCTTAGAGATAGGGAGGTCAACGCCAACACGTACGGTTCACTTGTTGTTCGCCACACCTGTTGGGGGTCCATTTGTTAACCTCTATTTTTGCTCGAGCACTCTCGATCGACTTGATTAGACCTTGTCGATCCCAATTCAAACTCGAATCGATCAGAATTGGTTTTAATTTGACTCGACCCTATTCAATCAAGCCCGTTTAGTTTGTTTCGACCGCGATGAACTTGATTTGTCCCAAGTCATTTTTTAATTGGAGTTTGATTTTAATTAATCAATTTGATCAAGCCTAATTCCCTTTTAAATTGAGCCGATTTGAACCAAATTCACATCAAAACCTAACTCAAATTAGTCCAATTTGATTCTATTAGGTCTCATTTGACTTTCTAATTCGTTTGAATTTGTTCCTAAATCAAAAAAATGCGATCGACGGTTTTGATTGCGTTAAAATTTTCATTTTGGCGTTATCAGTCCCTAGTCGCGTGAGCCTCGAATAAGGAGCGAGTTTGAATGACTTTAGGCAAGAGCAGAATGTCGCAGCGCCATTTTGAGCTTTCAGGGCAGAGCAGAGCATAGAGAGATGTTTAGAAAGTTTGGAGGAAGCGTTCGGCGCTCGCATTCGGACCGACTCCCTCTCTCTCTCTCGTTCGGGAGCAACCCAGGTAGATCCCGATTCCCCTTCCCTCCTCCCGTCCTCCCATTCGTAGAGGACCCGGACCGAGCCCCTTTTCCAATTTCTCCTCTGGTTCACGGGTTCCTGGATAAGGCCGAAGCCCTCAACCAGTCCTAAGTCAGCATCCCCGTCTCCCCTGGTTCGCGAATCCGAGCCCCGCTCCTGTTCGATCTACAGTAGCCCAGGCAAAATTCCCTTCTGCTTCTGTGTTTGGCTTCGCATGCTCGGATAGGCCCGAGGCTGACCTCCCCCCCTTGCCCTAGTGTTGGTGGAATTTTGAAAAAACATGTTTTGAAAATATTAGTTTTCTTTGGGACTTAGAATTGAATTCTAAAATCGAATTGTCTCGTTAGAAAGAGTATATCACCTCGAAAAGTGAAAATAAAATTTCATAACGACGTTCAGATTTAGAATTATGAAATTCATCTTGAATATCGTGACCGGATGCTAAAGAGAACTTCATATGGCCCCAAAGGGTCAAAATGAGATTCTACTGAATATCCAGCCATAATATTCGAGAAGTGTGATCGTTGATATCACATCCAAAGCCTTATCAAAGAAAAGTGTATCTCCCCAAAGGGAGAAAATACTATTCGATAATGATTCTTTGATCGTGATAATAATGATCACTGTATTTTAAGTTTTCCCAAAGAAACCCAATTGAACTTTGAAAAATCAATTTTAAAATCAGGTGCGTGTGTGGTTCCAAATCTCCTACGAGCGCAAGCCCTTGTAGTTAATTATATCGTAGGTGGATAGAATCTCCTACGAAAACTCCCGATTAAAATGGTGGCAGAATTTTGTCAGATTTTCTAGGAGTGATATCAAAAAGAGAAGTGAATTCTGGAAACTCAAAAGGGAATGGATCAAAATTGAGCAGTTATTAACGGAGTTAAAGAATGAGAGGTAGGAGACACTTTGAGATTCCAGAACCATCCGGAAGTGTCTCAACTTAATCTAAAGAGGGATTCCACCAAGGATGTTTCACCTATCCGAGGTTGTTTGTTAGAGCGTTGCTTGATAACGTTAACTTATGTGAAATAGGTCGAATCGAATCCCCCTAGAATTGATTATACCTTGATTGGGATGGGGCAAATGCTACGTGCATCCAGAATAAAAGGTGAGATTGGTTTGTCATTAGACTGTTATTATCTTTTCAAGGTCGATGCTAAGATCTTGCACAAGGAGTATAAGTCCAACTAAGGATGGTATAGAGCTAGAAATTTACTGGAATTATCATTGCATTTGTTGGGAGCTTTATGAAAAATGGTTGCCAATGATATTTTATTAGAGGAAATTTTCTAGACCACAGCTGCATATGAAGTTGCAGCCAAAATTGTCGCCCATTTCAAATCTCCTTCCATGAAATTGATGTACCATTGTCTGATGCTTGATGGGCAATAGAAAATTGAATAAGGTCGCCCTCAATAAGATTTATTTCTAACCTGATAATAGATCATGGCAAAAAGAGACTATCTTACTCCAGCCATGCCTAAGATATTGATGTGAACAATGTTTCGAGGTTATAGCAAAGGTTGCTCCCAACTAGGAATATTTTCCCACATATTGCATCAAATTGTTGCTTCCTGAAACAATCACAACGGCAAAGAGATATAAAGTTTAACGTCTTAACATTGTACGAAGATCCAACACATATATAAATAAAAGAGTATGGTGTAATATTCATAAAAACACCAAAATTTTTACGTGAAAAATTCTGAAAAGGGAAAAAACCATGGGTCCTGCCCAAGGAGTACAATTCCAACTAGTATTGATGCTTGATTACACATAATACCTCTCATCGAAGGAGGGTGTTGGCTTAATGTAGTAAATATACGTACATGTGCATTACATGGAAGATGTTCTTAAGAGAGTCTTTGCATATTTATTTGATCAGCAGAGCTGTAGTCAACGAGCGATGGTGTTCAGAAGGATCATAGTCATCGAGCGACTGTGGTTAAAGGGGTCAATGTCGGCAAGCGACGGTGGTCGGATTAGCCATAGTTGTTGGGCTATAGTGGTTGGAGGGACTATAGTCGGCGGGCTATAGTGGTTGGAGGAACTATAGTCGACGGGCGACGGTGGTCGGAGGAAACATAGTCTATAGGAGACGGTGGTCGAAGAGACCGTAGTCGACATGCGATGATAGTTGGAAGGAATGTAGTCAGCAGGCAACCTTGATCGTAGGGACCATAGTTGGTAAACAACATTGATTGGAGGGACCATAGTCAACGGGCAATGGTGGTTAGAAGGACTATAATCAGTAGACGACATTGATTGGAGGGACCATAGTCGATAGGTGATGATGGTTGGAGGGACTGTACTCGGCGGGCGACAGTGGTCCAAAGGATTGTAGTTGGCAGACAACGTTCATTAAAGGGACCATGGTTAGCATGTGGCAGTTGTGAGAGGAATTGTAATCGACGGGCGATAGGGTCGAAAGGACTGTAGTCGATAGGCGATATTGATTGAAATGTATGTAATTGGCGAGTAATGGTGGTCGGAGGAACCATAATCGACAGAAACTCTGACGATGGTTATGCTAGATAGAGGAAGCAAGAGAGCTCTTAAGTTTCCTCCATTTTCTCCTCTTTCTCAAGAATGAGGGGTTATTTATATTTTTTTTAGAGTAACATAGCTAGTAAATATGAAGAAGACCAAGAGTAGGTTGGGAGTATTCTATTGGATGTATGTATTTGTTTCCTTGATCATAAAACATTTATCATGCATTTAAGTGTCTTAATGATATCAGAATTGAGTGATCATGGGCTCATTTGATTTATCTCATCAAGCCCCTAGATTTGACTATCAGCATATTATATTTGTATATCTTTTGATCATCTAATTGATGCTCTGAAGCTTTCAAGTATGTTTTGATTCTTTTATTTGAGCTCGAATCAGAATGAATTTGGCATCATTGGGTTCATCTCCTTGGGATTTTAATTTGACTATAAGTTTATAGAAATTAGAGTTTGAATGATCTTGAGTTTTAATTTTGAAAATTTTTAATATATTTGCATCAAAATTTATGCCCGATCAAAATAATTTTTTTATGAAATCAATTTCAAACTTGATCAAAATTAAAATAGTTTTGGGCCACATTCTCAATCCAAAAATGATCCGATTTCTTATCGATTGAAAATTAATTATTAATTGATTGAATGTAAAATTTTAAAAATATATTATGTTTTATATGTATAATAGTTTTTTGAAGAACCATATTGAAATATATTTCGAGTCATCTCTAATTGTATGCTGGGAGCAACGAAAACTTAAAATCAAAATTTGTGCGGATAAGAGCTTCAAATCTAATAGAGGCAATTAGTAGTAAAATTATATTCAAGGAGTTTTGAGATTTTTTAGAGATTATTTAATTTGAAGTAAAATGGGGATAAATTTTTCAAAATTCAAGAAAATTTTGTGGGAATATTAAGAATATTGATATTTGGTTTAACATAAAAGGATTGCAAAGTAAAATTTTAAAATATCTGGAATTCACAATCTAGTTTAATTTTGATGCATTTAAAAATAATTAAATTTGATTGATTTTCAAATATATTATAAATCTTTTGCCAGCATCGATCATCACCGTTGATCTCTATCACCATTGGTTGCCACTTGCTACCCCCATTGAATACCGGCAATCATAATCATTTGATTTTACATTGCATTTATTTTATTTTAAGTCAAATAAAAAAATGCTTGAATTTAGTCAGTATATAGTCAAACAACTTTAAAATATTTCAAACACAATACATTCCTTTTACACTATATTACTTTTTAAACAAACCAAACTAATCCTTAATGATTAAAAAAAAAAATTACATTAAAAAAGGCTAACTTTATTGAAATAAATATATTCATTGACAATAACTATTAATTTTTTGTAGGACTTCTAATGATGGTGATCATAAAAATCTGGTGAAAGATGACACTGTTGCAGGTGCACAAAATTTATCATACAATGAAAAAAATCAGTTAATTTTTCTTGGCATAAATTATATTATTTTTTGTGCTTTATATGAGGTTTTTTTTTGGGTGGTTGTTATTGAACTTTATCCAGATTAATTTTGGAAAACTGAAGCTAGGGATATAGACTGTCAATCTAGCTCATGGATATGTTATATGTTAATATTATAATTCATTAATCCGTCACGTAGTTTGCTTGGCTTGGCTTGGCTTTAATAAAAAAAGTGTTGAGAGACGGACTGAGTCACCAATTCCTACATAATATCTATAAATGAGCTTCATAAGACCCAGACCCGGTCGCTTCTCGTGACTATATTTCAAGATACCATAAAAGGATAGCATACAAAATGAATAAATACTTGGAGGCCAAAAATTGTACCTTTTGGTTTCTCCTTCACGAGCTAGATTGTTATATATATAGCCCACACTCCACAGTTGTGAGCATCGAAGACTTGGAGGTCGAAAAAAGACTTCTTTTTTCTTCTTCGTCTTCTTCTTCTTCTTGTTGTTGAGCACAGGCGTGCGCGCAAAGGACACGATATCTTCCGTTCACCAGCACGAGCTCTCAGCAGACTTCTACGCAAAAACATGCCCGCAAGTGGACAATATCGTTGGCTCCGTCACCTCTCAGCGCCATAAGACTCTTCCAGCCTCTGGACCTGCTACCATTCGCCTCTTCTTCCATGACTGCTTCGTCCAAGTAAATATTAACAAATCATGAAAAAATATTGTTAATTAGTTATATTTTTAAACATATGACGTGATTGCTATCAGATGTAGGGCTGTGATGGTTCGATACTACTGGAGGCGGGGGCAGAGGGGAAGGTAGAGAGGCAGATGTTCGAGAACAGGAATTTGGGCACTGAGGGCTTCGACACAGTTAACTTAGCCAAAGCTGCAGTAGAGAAAATATGTCCAGGACTCGTCTCCTGTGCCGACATACTCGCCATTGCAGCCCGTGATTTCGTCCATCTGGTATTCTAATTACATTTCTACAGCTGATGATCAAGATTTATAAAAATATCCTTTTTATGTTAATAATCTACACTATTTCTTATAATTACATAGACGCCTATGCCCTACTTCTGTCATAAAAACAATTACATACTATTAGAGTCTAAAGATGATAGGGGGCTCCCGCTCTTCTCTAGACTATAATACTAGTACCATCAAATGTGTCAAACGATCTATGATGATGCATCCTTCTATAATACTAGTACCATCAAATGTGTCAAAGAGCATCACAATCACGCCATTTAATAGGCAAAATCTTATTTGCAGCCAAACAGCCCCCTTCAGAGGCAATTCATCGAGAACATTTTAGAGACAAACTAACAGTAATACTAACCGTCACAATTTGATTCTATTGGCAGGCAGGAGGGCCATACTACGCGGTCAAGAAAGGAAGAAAGGACAGCAAATATTCGCCGTCACTGGCCGGTCTGCCGACCATAGTACGCGTCAACCTTCCCCGGGCCAACTCCACGATAACAGAGCTCATCGCCCTGTTCGCCGCTAAAGGACTGACCACCACGGACCTGGTCGCTCTCTCCGGCGCCCACACCATCGGCTTTTCGCATTGCGACCAGTTCGTGTCCCGCCTCTACTCCGGGTCCACCATCGAGGCCCCAGCGATGGAGCCTCGGCTTCTCCAGGCTCTTCGGCTACAGTGCCCGCGTACCGGAGGCAATGCCGACGTGGTGGTGCCGCTGGATGTGGTAACGCCGTTCGAGTTCGACAACGAGTATTATGAAGGGATCGGAAAGGGGCTGGGGGTATTGGCAACGGATCAGGCGTTGGGCTTAGACAGGAGGACGGAGACGATTGTGAGGGAGATGGCCACAGATAAGGGGAAGTTCTTCGCGGCATTTGAGGCGGGGATGGAGAGATTGGGGGGAATTAGGGTGAAGAAGGGAAAGAAGGGGAAATCAGAAGGGATTGTAGAAGGCATTTGACGTAGCCTGTTTGTAGATTATTATTTTAATTATTAACATCAAAATTCTTTGGAGTGATTGCAGAAGTTCAGTTTAAGGCTATCTGCTGCAGGAGTGGCTCTTTGTCTGGCTCTTAGGATTGAGCTGGTGGATGATTGAGCATTCTTCATTTTGAATTTGTTGGCTGTTACACAGCTCAACTTGGCTTGTTGGTTGAGAGCTTATGCTTCCAACTAAGAGGTCTTGGGTTCGAGTATTTGTGTATGCGTTGTGTGTGTGAGTTTGCCTAAATGGCCTAAATGTCCCAAAAAAAAAAAAAAAAAAAAATTTGTTGGCTGTTTCGGTTTAATAGATTCTTTTGTATTTCTAGTCCTTTGGACTAGTTTTGTTTTTTCTTTTCACCCTTTGTTGTAGGGTGTTCTTTTTCTCTTTTTTAGCAGATTTTATCAGGTTTTTTATTTTTCTTGCTTCATTTGTTTTGAAGCTTGATTTTTAGGTTGAATGGTTAGGCATGTTTTTCTTTTCTCTTTACTTTAGGTGGTAAGTTTTTTCTTGTTTTCTTACTACCTACTGTATCTGTATTAATTTTTTCTTTAATGAAAATTGGGCATGTTTGCCCCTAATTTTCCAAAAAAAAAAACATCAAAATTCTATAATTTATATAAACTTTCAAATAAATTATATGTTTACCACATGATAAGTTGGCGAGCTAAATATAAATAAAAAATTTTAACTTATTGATTTAACATATGAAATCTCAAATATTAATTGGTTAGTTAGGTAGATTTTGTAATTTAGCACTCAATATGGTTTTAGATTCACATCTCTCTAAAAAATAGAAAAAATATAAAATAAAAGGAGGGTCAATAAAGCTTCTTTTTTTAGTGATAGTGAATTTAACCCTTATAATCCCAAATACAAACCCCTTGGCCTTGGCTTTTGAAGAGATCATCATAATTTTCTTATGATCCAATGTTATACATAAATTTGACTCATGCTCACAAGCTCTCAATTGGAGACTTGGTGAAGCTTGATCAAGGGTGGTGCAAAGACCTGCATGCAATTCTAGTTATTCTAATAATTTAGGTAATACGAAGGCAAAGTTTTGTAAGAGAGCCGAACGTTAATTATATTTCGTAAAAAGGAGCGGATGTGATATGGAATCCGAAAAGTAGTAAATACTTGAGCATGAAAAAATTATTACGTGTAGAGTACGGATGAAAAGCTGTGTCAGGATTTCCTACATAATAATCTCTCATGAATATGAGCTATGCATTAAATCAAATCGTATATTAAAGATAAACGTGAAACAACTTCATGCATGTAATTATTTAATTAAAGAATGTGTAAAAAATTTTCTCCTTATCTAATGAATAGATAGACGTTTTCTTGTTATCTAATGAATACATAAATGTTTTACATATTCACGTGAATAAGGAAAAACATTTCACATTTTCCTTATTACGTGATTTCATTTCATGTATTCACGAGAATATTCAATGGATTTTTGCCCGTATTTAATGGTATATGCAAAATCTTCAAAAAGCTGTCGAACATAGGCAAGTGGTGGACTAAAGCAGTCAACTGATTGAATATATTGAGTCTATGATTGAGTTTGAGGGGAAAAAATTAATTTAATTATTCTATACATGCTTAGCTAATTTATAAATATTTTTTTATAATTTTTTACAACTTTGAATTTGAAGATATGATTTTTGCATTTAAAAGTAAAAACTAAATAATTTACTTAATTACAATTTTATCCTCATATTATTTTATTATAAAATATCCTATCCAACTACATAACTTTATAAATGCACATTTCTTTTCATTTCGTTTTAACCATATAAAAGAAAAAGGAAACATGGAAAAGAAAAGAGGAAATTAAGAGAAAAAGAGAAGAAAGAGAAAATAAAATTTAGGATTTGGAGGTTTTAGAACAATTTTTATCGATTGGTCCAGCTGAAATTTTTTCGTCTCAAGGTAGGGAACCTTTACCCTACCTTTGATTTTAATGATTTTGTATATAGTTTATGAATTTTAATTTGATCAAAACTTGCAAAAGTTGTCATATCTCGATTTTTAGCAAACTTTTACCATGTAATTTTTTGTATATGATATATATAATTCTCTTGAATATTTTGATTGTAATATTATTAAATTTCAAAGAATAAATTGGAAACTATGATTTTCTAAAATAATTGTATATGAATTTTATAGATTTCCTTGCATTTTATGAATTACTATATTTTATACATGATATTGACTTACATTGCACAAAAGAATTTAGTATTACATGTAATCAATGAAGGATGACGATTAATCCTATAATTAATATATGTTGGCTCTTAAAATATAATACCATGTACAGGAGGATGAGCCAATAAGTTTTCCTTAAAATAAAAGATTGGTGGTGTCATCTTGACTATAGTCTATAATTGATTGAATGAATTTTGACGACGAGTAGAGGGTGACGACTCTTAAATGATTATTAAAAATCACATATGAATTGACTTAAGATAATGAATAATGATGGTAAGAAAAAGACTGATGACCAATTAATCGATAGTTGGGGTTTAATAAAAGACTGATGACCACTTGCTATTGTACATTGTATTTTGATGGAATAAATATATAAATATCTTGATGTATATGATTTAGTTGCTTTTGTTGTATTTATTTAAGATGATAGATATTTAGTGATTCTCTTAAATTAATTAAGAGATAACAATTAATAATTATTTCAAATTTAGGTATTGAGATGTTATAGGAAGAGACTTAAAAAAATCATTTTGATTAATATTAGCTAAATTTTCATACTAAAGCACCTCTAAATTGATTTTGTAAATAATCTCACTAATTTGATATCTTTCTTAGGTGATGTTTGATTGGCTAAAAAAGAAATGCAATATAAAAGAAATGCAATGTAAAATGAATATACTATAAAAATAATATTTTGGAGTTATTTGATGAGTGTAAATTAAATTCAAGTGAATGATTTTCTTTTTTTTTAACTTGGTTTGAAGTAAAACGAACGTAGTTTAATGTTTAAAGATGGTGGCGATCGATGAGAGGTGGCGATAGTAACCAAAGTATTACGGTGGAGGCCAGTGGTCGGCACCCAGAGGGTGGCAGCGATGGTGGCTGATAATGATTGACAGTGGTGGAGACAGGGAGATCATGGCAGTAGCCGATAGCGGGGGTGGGTGGTCACCAACAATGGGTAGGGGTCATGGTGGAGGTGATGGTCGATAGTGGGTGGCGGTCAGTGGTGTTGAAAATTTGGATTCAAATATTATAATTTTGATAATAACACATATTTCTGACATCTCTATTTTTCTACAATTGCCCTGCTTATTAAAGTTTCAGTTCCACAAGATCAATTGCAAATCAAACCAGCTCAAGATTGGGTAGATTAGGACTAAGTCAGTCTATAAGTGTATGTCAAGTGTTTTTACCTTTTCTTGAGTCAAATATAATAAAGTTGGTCATGATGCTAAGTAACCTTACACACACACACGCTTAGAGGGAAATTTTTTTGTCTATTTTAAAGTTTTTTATTTTTGATCATATCATCCTGGACGATCAGTTAAAAATAAAAATCCTAATTAGGGCATCCTGGTTAAGTCATCCAAATTAAGCAAATCATCCTGGATGATATTATCATCGTCTAGGAAGATATGCTCAAATCAGAAAGAATCAATCGCTAACTCTTTTAGGCATGTTATTATTTTTAGACATCGTACATAACATCATCCTGGATAATGCATTACAATTATGCCTAAATTAGTTTGATGATTAAGAAAAGCAATTAAGATTTGATTGATCGATCATATCATCCTAAACGATCACAGGATCGTCCTAGACGATCAGTTAAACAAACCTTAGTTTCTTCTTGGATAATCAGAATGATATTTTGGATAATATGTATTCATTTGAACTAATCATACTAGACGATCAAAGAATCATCCTGGATGATTAATTATTTTTTCATTGTCCAACATGAAAAGTCTAGCCGAACAGAGCGATGGTCTGGACGATACTTGACATTTTTGACAATATCCCATCATCTTAGAGAATCAGAACAAATAAATCTTCTAATCGTCCAACCTCCTCCAGATCATCCTAACTGATTGAGCAGAATTTGTACTGATGGTACAGGAAGATCCGTCGATCGTCTTGGAAGATCTTTGTCGGTTTGTTGCAATTTAGGGCAAATTTGAAGCCCTTCTATATAAGATCTCTTGTTTACTCAAGATGAGATCTTTTATTGGTATCCTGACCTAAGAGAGCTAACAGGAGAGGGAGAGCTTGGGAGAGAGAGAGAGAGGAGAGAGAGAGAGAGAGAGAGAGAGAGAGAGAGAGAGAGAGGATCTTATGAGGGGAAGTTTTTGAGGGTTTCATGAAGGTTTCTCCAAGTAAGGATCTGATTCATCTTCTCTAGTCGTCTTCCCTGGTTCCTTGGAGTTTCTAAGGAGGTCTACTTCAGCGATTGATTGAGGTTCTCTACCTACTTCGGGAGAAAGCAAAAGGAGTCGGGTTCCCTACCTGCTTCAGGAGGAAGCGAAAGGAGTTCGGTTCTCTTTCTCATCGGGGTCGGTGAAAAGGAGTTTTGTACAGGCTTCTCCACCTTGCTGTGAGAGCAAAAAGAGAGTCATTGAGTTTAGTGCAATACCCGGAGGAGAGGCTCCGGGGAGTGGACTTAGGTCAAGTTGACCAAACCACTATAAAATATGGTGTGTTCTTTCTTATTATATTTTTTGCATTTAATTTATGCACTTTATTTTCTAGTGAATGATTGTTTGGTTTGTGCTTTTAAAATATTTCAAAAGTTCATGATTTTTGTTTTAAAATTTTTGAAACACCAATTCACCCCCCCCCCCCGCTCCTCTTGGTTAGCCTCGGGCTAGTTCATATGGGCTTAACATCCCTAACAAACTTTCAAGTGGTTGATGATGATAGATGGCGACAGCGGGGCGTGACTGAGCTTGCTTGTGGTGTAAATAATTCTCACTCAAAATTTGGTGAGAATTATTTAACTAAAAAATGAGCTAAATTATTTTACATTATATTTATTATACTTTACATTTCATCCTAACAGACACCAAACTTTTTAAACCCCCTGCATTCTCTTTACTTACACCTATTTTACTTCCAACCAAAATAACCACTTAGTAATTTGCTTTTCAATTTTTAATATATATAATAAATTATCAGGATGAACAAATCACCTATGAAATGCTACAAAATAAACTCTAAGGTTTCATTTGGGACAACTTTCTTACTATTTTCTAAAACAAAAATTTCTAGTTCAAAAACTTTTCATGCTAGAAAGCTGCTTTGGAAAGCACTAAGAAAATTGTCCTAAACAAAGCTTAAAGCTACCATGATAGTTTCTTCATAGTATTTGCTCGTGATCGTTTTGTAGAATAACTGAAACA